GGGGTGGGGGGGTGGGTATTTTTTAATGGGGGCACTTATTCTGGTGACAACTGTCTCAGGCTCCATTCACACCAGCAACCTCAACTAATGTACAAATGTACAACCTGTGCTTTTAGGGAAGCAGCTGATGTTAGTGTATCACTGCATTGTTTACCTTTCTTTTCTGAACTTTATTGACAAGACACAAATGAACACTTCATTCTATTCAGTACTATTCACCCCAGCATGTTGACATGTACTGTGTCACAGCACTCGGCAGTGAAAAAAGTATTGCATGTATTATTGTTTTCGGAGCGAACATGGTGGTGTGATTGGACTTTGTCGTAAACAAGCCCATTTTCCCTGTCTTGTGTGTTAGGACTGCATTAGACAAGGGTGCCAATACAGCTTAATGCATCTGGTGTGAAGCGTATGTGTTAACCTATAGATTCCTGCAGCAGCAATCCCAGCTGTCCTGTTCAGATGCGGCTGCTGGACCTATTCAAGTAAATGACCGGGCGAAACATCTAAGTGGCAGTCCACATGTGATTTGTATCCAGAAAGATTGCATGTGGTTTGGGATAGATGATTGTCCCTGAACCATGTGCCATGTCTGGCTTGTGGACTGCAACTTACAGATGTAGCTGCTCTCACCCTGTCTTTTATTTCAATGTGTGCAGCACCTGCATCTGAACGTGGACACCTGGGATCTATAGGTTCTTGCCACAGGTGTCCCAGAACGCCCCAATTAAATGGGGCCTCGAGGGCTTATTCACACCAGATGCATTAGGCTGGGTTTGGCACCCTTGCCTTATGCAGTCTTAACATGCAGGGCAAATGGCCTTGTTTACTATGAATTCCAATCACACCACTGTATTGTGTGTTTTTCAGATTCTAGTTTTGGTTTGCTTACTCTAACCAATGTCTTTTTTCTGGCTGATCACCATCTTCCCTGAGTTAAACCAGTGCTCCAATGTCTTTCCCTGTCCTCCATAGTCCTGAACATGCATGTACACCTGATGCAAATGTTTGTGAAATGATAATTTGTTAGCCAAATCTAGCTTGTATGATCCGCTCCTACCTGAAGTCAGTAGGACCCCTTCTGTATCTTGAGTGTGTACAGTGACAGCTGGGGGTGATATTCATATGAAAAAGCCACGGTTTTAGCAACTGTTCCCCCATGGCATTTACTGCATTCTGAACACTTACCAGTCATCAGGGAATATATACATATAGTAGTAAGTAACTAATAAGTGGTAATGTGTAACGTTTCCAGCTTGAACACTAGAACGTTGTCTGGTTTGTTCTGATCTTTACAGCACTTGTTTTTATAATGCTAAATGGACTGTCAAACTATTTGCACTGGTAGACAGTGATGGAAGAAATTGCAGAAATAATGTAGCCTTGGGCAGTGCATCATACACAGCCTGTAAATGGTTTTTTCGCAAATACAAATGAACCCAAGGCTGTGTATAGCTGATTCAGTTTGAAAGCAGCAGTCATGGAAATGATTGTGCTGGTGGTTCCTGTATAAAATGTATACATCGGTGCTGGTAAAAATGAAACTCCTTCACCCCCATCTGGTTCCTTTTCAGGGAAGTTGCCACCTGATATTAAATAGTTAATGCACACACACATGGTTTACCATTTGCAACCCTGCTCCAGTATATACTGCAGATTCAAGGCAAATACTTTAAATAAAACTAGGCATCCACCTACCCATGACGGCACTTTGTTCTGGTGATTGAGCAATATGTGTTGGGAGGGCAAGGGATGTGTACATGTGTGCCTCATGTAAAGAAGTAGATGAGAGTTCAGGTGGTGCTGCGTGAATGGCCAGCCTCTATATGTTAACGTTCCATCTGGGCTCTCGGCACAGACAGCAATTCCTAACTCCGACTCCCCTCACCCTACACTTTCTGCTGACCTTAACCCCTTAAATACTTTAATCTTAGAGCCTGTGGATCTTCTCATGCTTGTAACATTTTAGATTCCTGGGAATAAACCTTTTTTACATTGAAGTCCTGACTGCTGAGTGTGGTTTTACAAACATACAGTAATCTTTGTAGTATAGTTTCTGTTCTTCACTGGAACCTTTATACTGATGCAAACAATTCTGCATCAAAAAATACTAGCTCCAGAAGTTAGTGATTAGGCCTTAATGTCAGTCTGTGGGATTTTTCAATTAAGATCACATGACTAATGACGAGGCATTTGGATGCGTGACTGGCCGCTGTAGGAACTTGCTACAGAAATTTCAGCAGCACTTGCAAGTAGGGATGCACCAATACTGAGCATTATTTTCAAAATCGATTAGTTAGCCGATTATTAAGTTCGGTTAATCGGATAAACAATAAAATACATTTTTAAAAATGGCTCCAGTGATGGGACTACTAGTTTGTATTGAGGTTGTAGTCCATCACAGGAGCAAGCTTGGAGCGGTGGAAGTAAAAAAGAAAAAAAAAAGTGTGGTGTGCAATATAGTGAAAAGGAAAGTGTAAAATTATACAGCAATGCATGCAGAATGGCACCGGCTATAGAGGACTACAAATCCCAGCAATAGTACATTATACAGCACAATGCAGAACACCGCCAGCTATAGAGGACTACAACAAATCCCAGCAATAATACATAATAGCTGGCGGTATTCTGCATTGCGCTGTATAATGTACTATTGCTGGGATTTGTAGTCCTCTATACAGTGCAGTGCAGAATATCACCAGCTATACACCAGGAATACAACAAATCCCAGCAAAACATTATACACACAGTGTATAATGTATTGCTGGTATTTGTGCTGTATATTATACATAGGACTACAATGTACCATCAGCTATAGAGGAATACAAGCAATACATTATAGAGCACCATGTGTGGGGGGGAGGGGAAGGCTTACCTGAGCAGTCTTCCAGCAACTTGCTTCTGAGATCGGCCTATCGGCGGCTGTCATCCCCCCACACCTGCTCCTCCTTACTGCATCTCCCCGCGTCCCTGTGCCGATCGTGGATGTGGACGGGCGGGGAATGTGAGGCGGGGAGGAGGTGCGGCGTAAAGAGCGTGGATGCGGGCGGGCAGGTCTGGCAGCGGCGAGCGTGAGGTGGGGAGGAGGTGTGGTGCACAGCGTGTGGAGCCGTGAACAGGGCCAACTGATCGGAAGCTGATTAATCGATTATTGAAAAAGTTGACAACTTTTTCAATAATCGATTATAATCGATTATGTCGATTAGTTGTTGCAGGCCTACTGATCAGGCTGCCTTGCAGTGTTGCGAGGGAACGTGAAGCTGGTGTTCTTTCGATAGAGCACTGGCTTCCCAGGCAATCAGAAAGGGGGGGGGGAGGTTCATGACCAGCCGCCTGATTTCCTGATTAGCTGGGCCCAGGGTACCTATGAATGCCGGTATCTGTACGCGATACTGAAAAACCAGTATCAGTTCATCCCTACTTGCAAGTATGTAAACTGTGCTTATTGGATTGAAGTATCACTAAAGGTTAAGTGACAAATACTCTTTTTAAAAATGTTTACAGTATCTGTCAGAGCGGAAGATGAAGCGGACTTTGATGGAACAGTAGAAGATGACCTTGGAAAGAGCCGAGACGGCTCAAGGACAGACGATGAAGTTGTAAGCAGGTTAGTCTTTACTGTATGCAATGTTCTTATGAACTTATCTAGTGAAAGTGCAAACAGGAACTGGAGTTGGCCTATGGCTATAAGTTTCAGCTTTCATCATTGTAGAACCGTTGGATGAAGACAAATATGACTTCTTTTATTTTGGTATGTTGTACATTCTTAAACAAGTACACTAAACTGCCAACAACAACCGGCCTGTGGGAATGTTTGTTGCAGAAGCTAGATGCTTAATTATGACATTCTAACCTATTTAGAAGATACCACTTCAGATTTATCAATAGCTGCCATTTTGTGACTTTTTATAGGGAAGAGGAAGCAATTCAGCTGGATGGACTTAATGCTGCCCAAATAAAGGAACTTCGAGAAAAATCTGAGAAATTTGCATTCCAAGCTGAAGTTAATAGAATGATGAAGCTGATTATCAACTCCTTATACAAAAACAAAGAGGTAACCTGCTTTCTAAACTTATGATCGTAATCCTCATGATGTTGCAGTGATGGCGGATCTGTTAAACACTTAACTCTCTTGCAGATTTTCCTTCGAGAACTGATTTCCAATGCTTCTGATGCCCTCGATAAGATCCGGTTAATTTCTTTGACTGATGATACTGCTCTTGCTGACCATGAAGAACTTACCATTAAAATTAAGGTATGGGTCCATGATTAGAAGTGTAATAAATATAGTATACAGGTGCCCCATACAGAACCCCTTAAAAAAAAACCTCAGTAACTTGTCCTATATTTTTAAACCTTTTTGTCTGCTGTAGAATTCACTTGTTCTGGGCTTAAACTTTGTAATAAGCAGTTCTATATAGCAAATGGATATATAAACATAGTTCTTTTAATCTTGTCAATGTAGTTTTCTGCACAGGTTTCATTCACGTTAGGCTTACTAGTGAATGTGCAGTGTATTTTACATTTAAAATATGACTATGGTGATGCTAGTCACATTTGCCAGTGTACTTATGTCCTTTTTAACCGATCAATCAAGCCCTTAAATGGCTGGTGTCATAGCTGATCACCTGTCTAGTGCCTTGAAAACTGCAGATCTAATAGAGGCTAAGACTGTGTTATCCTCCACAGATAGGAGGGTTTAGTTCCACTTTAATCCTTTTTGGAGTGTCTTTTTTTTTCTTGATTTCTCATATATACATTAAAATGTTTTCTTAGTGTGATAAAGAGAAGAACATGCTACATATAACAGACACTGGCATTGGCATGACGAAAGAAGAGCTTGTGAAGAATTTGGGAACCATTGCTAAATCTGGAACAAGTGAATTCTTGAACAGGTTTACAGAAGCCCAGGACTCTGGCCAGTCTACCTCTGAGCTGATTGGGCAGTTCGGTGTTGGCTTCTATTCTGCCTTCCTTGTTGCCGATCGTGTAATTGTGACATCAAAACACAACAATGACACACAGCACATTTGGGAGTCTGATTCTAATCAGTTCTTTGTGAATGACGATCCTCGGGGTGACACATTGGGAAGAGGAACAACCATAACGTAAGTGGATCTTGGATGCTGTGTAGAACACATGCCCTCTTTATTGCCCACTTTCCTAAACTCTTACCCCACCCTCCCCAAAGGCATACTTATTGCTCTTTGAAGTGCAAGTAGGCAGCATAAAGTTAAATATCTTGGTATCAAACAGGCTTATTTTCAACCATGGCGTTTATTTTTATGCACAAGGCATTAGACAAGCGAATTGGAATGTGCTTCATTATGATGTTGTAACTAGTTGAGATACAGGTGCTGTCATTACCAATTTTCTTTACATTCTTTTTGCCTGGATACACTGGATTTAGATGTTGTAAATCAATTACAACCGATTTTTGGTACTTGGTAAGTAAGAAGCATCAGGAGTTCTCAATGAGGGGAATTGATCAAAACTGGAGCAGCTGTGCATGGCAACCAATCGGCATCCACCGTTTTTAAAGCTTTACTGAACAAACTGAAGAGAGAAGCTGATTGGTTGCTGTAGGCAACTGCTCCAGATTTTGTCTGCTCCAGTTTTGATCAATCCCTCCTCATTGTACTTGTTTTAGGTTGGTGATTAAAAGTATTGAAGCAAGAGTGTTGCCGTGCCAGCCTGGCATCTAGTATTTTCAGGAGAGATCAGCCATGCTTTCATAGTGTATTTGTTTAACCCTCTGTGCTTCTTGATATGAAATATAGCATTGCATTCTAGTAATTTACTCTGCTTTTACAGCTTGGTTTTGAAAGAAGAGGCAACTGATTATCTTGAACTGGAGACCATCAAGAACCTGGTCCGAAAATATTCTCAGTTTATCAATTTCCCTATTTATGTATGGAGTAGCAAGGTGAGCATGGTTCATCCATTTGATTCTTTAAAGCTTGGCAGACACATTTACAAACAGACTTTGTCATGGCCCTTTAAAAAGCCCAGTACTTCTGGGTATGGTTGAGCATACGACATCTTGGATGCTTCACCACAATGCAAACCTTGGGCTTTGAGTGGCAGTTGGGGTGACAAGTTAATTGAGGATTTTTTTTTTTTTTATCTGACAGGTTGTGAGGGTTATCATGTAACTTGGAAACCTAACTGGTTACTCATGTGTTGCATTTTAGACTGAGACTGTAGAGGAGCCAATTGATGAAGATGAAGCTAAAGAGGAGGAGAAGGAGGATACTGATGAGGAAGCTGCTGTTGAGGAAGAGGATGAAGAGAAGAAACCAAAAACCAAGAAGGTGAGTCTGAGAAACATTAGCATTTTAGTTAAGGGATGGCTTTCTAAACCCTTCCTATCCTAAATTAGTGTAATGCCACCAAAAAAATGGCCTATATGCTTGAACAGTTGGACATTAAGTGTTTAACTATAGTAACTTTTACAGCTAGTCTTAGTTTGTGTAAATCTGTTGCCTTTCAAATTTCTAATGGTGGTTTATAAAAAAAAAAGGGCATGGTTGAATTTAACGGTTTTCCATAACACAGGTCGAGAAGACTATCTGGGACTGGGAGCTTATGAATGACATTAAGCCCATCTGGCAGAGACCAGCTAAAGAGGTTGAAGAGGATGAATACACAGCCTTCTATAAGTCTTTCTCTAAGGTAATTTTTTTTGTTTTTGTTTTTTATACTTTTTTTTTTTTTTCAGACATTCTGCTACAGTTTCTTTACACTGCCGCTCATTAGACCATTAGTAGTCTGACCAAAATATGGGGGGGG